AATGTATTGATTCTTCCTTATTCATTGCCCCATTTTCACATGCATATGATACAATTGAAAATACCATGGTTTAGGTCAGGTACATCTTAGTCCTCAAATACCATCCTTTTCAATACTCTAACAAGGTCTTGTGTAGCAACTTAGCTGATGCAACTCCTCTTTTGATCTCTTGACTTCTGCTTCCATGAGCATTGATTGTGGATCCAAGCAAGAAGAAATTCTTGACAGCTTCAACCTTTTCTGCATTTATCATGATTTTACCTATTGCTCCACTTGTTAGGATTTTGGTTTTCTTTACATGGATTTGTAATCCATTCTAAAAGCTGCCACCCCTGCTCTTCATCGGCAAGTCCTTCAAGTCCCTCTTCCTTTCAGCAAGCAAGGTTGTGAAACTGGCATATTGCAGGTTGTAAAGAAGCCTTCCTCCAAGCCTGATGCCACATTCTTCTTCATACAAACCAGTTTCTCGAATTATTTGCTCAGCACATGTGGGGTACCAGTTGTGTAATTGAGGGTAAAATTAAAAAGACATCAGACAAGATCAAGCATGCAAGTGCTTGAGACCATCGTGACTTCAGGAGCCGGTTCTGTGCAGAGAGAGAGTGAATATATTTCCAACCAAGGCTTATATATACTCTAGGGGCATGCCGGTCCCCCTAATTACAGGGAACCACATGCATAACAGGAAGGGGGTGTACAACAGACATACACATGACAGGAAGGCAGACAGGTAAAAAGATACAACAGGGCTCTAGAGTCAAGATGGCAGCCTAACCTAGCCTAACCTTGGTCTTCCCGGAGTTGGCTTGACCTTATGTGTCTTTGGGCTCTCCTTCAGGGGAACAATCTATTATCCCTACCAGAAGGGAGTGGATCCCACTTAGTGTGGGACAGATAATAGGGCCTGATTGCCTTAAATGGCTGATAACCTTCAGGCAGATAACCTTTAAGCATTTGACCTCCAAGTGTACAGTCAGTGACCGTGTGCTTGCAAACAGTACCTTAGGTTTGGCATATATTTTGGGAGGACATCCTGAGGAATAACTTTTCTGCTTCCCACAAGTAAACATATTGAATAAGTATGGTAAGAGGATACAACCCTGTAATGTACCTTTCCTGATTTTAAACTACACAGTATCCTCTGGTTGCATTAACACAACTGCCTCATGAAGACAGTGAAGTGTTCTGGAATTTTCATTCTTCTCAAGGTTATCCATATCTTGTTATGATATACACAGCTGAATGCTTTTCAATAGCCCTCTCTGCTTTAATTCAAGATCCATCTGTTATCAGCAATGATATCCCTTGCTCCCTGTCCTCTTCTGAATCCAGTCTGAATCTCTGGAAGCCAGGTCAATATACTGCTGCACCTGATGTTGGGTGATCTTTGGCAATTTTACTTGCATGTAATATCAATGATATTGTTTGAGCATTCTGTTGGATCAAATATAGATCTATTCCAGTCAGTTCAAACAGCTGTCTTCCAACATGCCATCCATTCCTGAAGCCTTGTTTTTTGGTTCTAGGATCCCTGGTGGAATAGTGGTTAGGCATTGGGCTGCAATCCACAAGGTCAGCAGTTAGAAACCACCAGTAATTCTATGAGAGAAAGACAGGGCTTTCTACTCCTAAAGAGTTACTGTCTTGGAAACTCATGGGAGCAATTAGTTCTACAGTGTCTTACAGGTTGACAAAAAGCACGTGTGTTTATTGTGCTCACTGGCTCTTGCTCTACTGAGTCCATACTCACATAGTGCCTATACTTTTCTCTTGTTATGTCTTCCACCTTGAGACTGATTTTGCCAGAGATTAGAATTGCAACTCCTACTTTTTTTAGATTACCATTTTCTTGTTATACTTTTCGCCATCCTTTATCCTCAACCTATTTGTGTCTGTGAGCTTGAGATGTCTGTCTTCCAGACAACAGATTGATGATATTTTCCCTGATCCAGGAAGTTATTGTCTTTTAATAGGTGAGTTCACATCATTGATGTTCAGAATAATCACATCTATCTGTGGATTCTTTGCTGTCACTTCATACCATTTGCGTTAGATATTTTCTTATATTCCTCCTTAATTGAGTGTTGTGTATAAATGAGGGATTCATTCTTGACCTCTTTTTATCCATTGGGTTAAAGAAGTCTTGGGCATTGCTCTCAACGGGATAATTTCTGGATGGTGTTACACCATGTGGTGGTCTCATGTTTATGTTCTGTGGATGTTGCTCTTCTGTCCAAAGGGAGTTCGAAAGTAATTTTTGTGGTGCTGGATTTAAAAAAAAAAATGTATTCATTAAATTTTCCTTTTCCAAGAAAACTCTTACCTCCCCTTCTATCTTAATGGAGATTTTGGAGGATAGCAGATTCTCAGGTTACAGTGTTTTCCTTTCAACTTTTGGAAGATGATACTCCACTCTCTCTCATATGCTGATAAGTATTAGTATATTTTTAATTGATTGCCCATATAGGTAACTGTATTTTTTTCCTCTAGATGTTCTTATGATTTTCTCCTTTTCTGCAAAGTTGGGTAACTTGAATAATATATGCCTTCGTGTGTTCTTCCCAAGAACTAAATGGTGTTCTCTCTGCTTCCTGGATGATTGTCAATTCCTCCTTTATTATATTAGGGAAGTTTTATTCCAGGAATTCCCTCACTATTTTGGTTATGAATTTCTTCATTAGATCTTGCTTTAGTATCCCTATTGTTCAAAAATTGTTTCTCTTCATAGCATCTCTCACTGTTTTCAGGTTTTCTACAGCTTCCTAATTTATCTTTTTTATTCTCTTTCATGTTTGTTGAAATCTGCTTGGAAATATTCGAGGTTGCTGATATGGTTCTCCACTTCTTCCAACCTGTTGGTGTGTCTTTTTACCACCTTCTTTGTTTCTACTGCATCTTCTCCTAACTCTTGTGTTTCCCTTTGGTATGTTGACTTTATCCTCTCTATTTTCTCATCCTTTTGGGAAATATTGATTCCTTCATATCCTGTATCACTTCAAGCAGCATTATGAAGGTTTCTTTCTGTGGTGGTTGAAAGTCTTTTTTCTATGTATGTCCCTAGATTCAGGACCTCCTCAGACGCTGCATTTTATTTCTCTTGCATTCCTGTAGTGGTTGCTGATGTCGTTGTTGTCTGGAAGCATTTAAATGGAGCTCAGTGCCATTTTCCAAGAGTCCTGGAGCCTTCCCCCCCTTTAAATAAGAATAGTTCTAGGAATGACCTGGAACCAGCTACACTGGTAGTTCAATCTGTGTCTCTGTCTCACTGGGGTTGTCTTTCTCTCGAGACAGTTTGCATTAACTATTTGGAGGACAGGATGGGTGGCATGCCAAGGAAGCATGGACAGGGTGGTCATGGGCAGTGAAGGTGACACTGTGCAGGCAAATCATACACAGCACTGGCTGGAACTCATTGCTCATGAGGTGCACAGAGAAACTCATAGGACCTGTGTGTGGGACAATCAAAATAGCTAGTAGCACATAGCAGATCCAGGCTGGCTGTGAGCAGTGGGGTGGTATTGGGCAGGCCAATTGCACAAATTCAGTCTGGCTTTCATAGGCTATGGCAGGGAAGTAAACCACTCAGTGGACCCATGTACAGGTGCTGGTAGTGCACAGCAGCGCCAGGCCAGTCCCAAGCACTGGAGGTGACACTGGGCAGGTCAATTGCATGCAGACAGTCAAGCTTTAATGGGCCTTGGTGGGGGACAGAGCTACTGTGGGGACCCTGTACCTTGCAGTCACAGTCTCTGGTGAGAACAGCAGAGCCAGCCCGGTTGTGAGCAGTTGGAGTAATACTGGGCAGGTTGATTGCACTCAGGTGGACTGGTGTTCACTGTCTGAAGCAGGGGAGGGAGCTACATAGGGGGCCTGTGGGCAGGTTGATGGCAATCCCTGGTCAGGCCATTAACACACAGGCAGATTGGTGATCAGGGGACAGAGTTGGGGAAGGAGCCACTCAGGGACCTCTTCCCAGGCCATGTGGTCACAAGTCAGGCCAATCACAAAGCCTAGTGTTTGGGTCCAAAAAGGAAAGTGAGTCACTCAGGGAACATGTGTACAGGTGGATCACAGTAATCAGTCACAGGGACCAGTCATGCACAGAAGACCCAGGCTGCTCCTGGGCCCGATATTAAGACAGGGGATGAGGGTCACAGGTGAATAGGGGAGGCAGGAGTGTCTGGATCCCCAGAGAGCCAAGAACAGCCGGTGTGTTCCAGAGTGCTAGGAAATAACAGGGGCCATGGAGGGGAAGTCCAGGGAGACATGTGTTGTGGCAATCCCAGATGTGCCAAATGTGGGGAAACCACTAAAAACTCCCTAGGAAGCCACAAGACCAGGGCTATGTCTGAATGACATCCTGACCTGAAAATCCGGTGACTGCTCATAGGGAGCCACAGGAGCATGTCTCTCCATGGAGGAAATCTTCTTGGAAGACCTCCTAATTTCCTATTATTAATAAATGTTTCTAGCTGCTTCATCTCCTTTTGAGTCATGTCCCACTAGTAAATGAAGGTCCCAAATGCTTTACTCCCACACTTTACATCAATCTGTTTGATGCTACTTTGAAACTGCAGTTCTACCTAACCATATTTTGAGTTCTTTCCAACCTGGAAACTCATTTTCTGACAATGCTCTGCTCCTTTCCTTAGGCTTTCCATATGTGAGCGTGTTTCCATTCTCTCCGGAGAGTTCTCAGGGGCTAATTCCTCCGAAGTGGACGGCCTGTTCCTTCTTCATTGCCTGTTCTTAGCCTGGAAGCTCTGCTGAAACCTGTCCATTTTGGGTGATGCTCCTGGTATTTGAGATCTGTGACATAGCTTCCAGCATCACAGCAAGTCACCACAGCTAGAGAAACTGACACACAAATGATATACATAGTGACAGTCTTTGAAAATCTCAGGGGCAGTTCTACTCTGTTCTTCACTAGGCATCAACAAGATGGCATGGAGTTCAGTTTTGTCCAAATGAATCAAGAAAATGCAGTAGGTGCTGGAATATCTCATTTAATCACAAAGAGAAACGAGTTCATGAAGCATGGTACAGAATGAATGAACCATGAAAATGTGCTCAGTAAAATAAGCCTGGGACAAAAGGACAAAATTCCCAAGCTGAAACATCGTGATAACCAAATCCGAATATCCAAAAGCTAAATGATTGATTGCAATATACAAGGAATACAAAGTTTCTCTGCAAAGGCATAGGTCAAATATCTGTGAATGTTCATATCCAACAGCATACCAGCGGGTAGAACATGGGAGCAAAGCTTCTCATTTCAGGAACACACAGTCCAGTGAAGAGCGTCTCCCACTGCCAAGTCATCTCATTGCTGATTCCAGGACTCTTTCTGCTGAGGATGATCATTGGAGGGTGATTACTTGGAGGATGAGTGTGGACCAGCACTGGATGTGGTGAATGAATCTGTGGCTGGAATCTACAATCCCTGCTTGCGAGGCTCCCCTTTCATCCTCTTCACTGATGCAGACTCCAGAGCCTCTGAAGACAGCCTCTTAAATGTGGGGGTTGGGCTTCCTAACATGCTCATTTTCTTACCCTTCCCATAGCCTGCCTCTCTGTGTGCTGCATATGCCTGAGGAGAGAGACTCTTCAGCCAGAGATCTAGGTCTATCTTATACTGCTTCTGCATCGCCTCAGCCTGCTTCCTATAGTGGTCCTTCTGGCTCTGTGGGATAGGCTGCCAGAGCCTGCCAATCTCCACCATGCGCTCTCTGGGTGCCACATGTTGCAGCTTCTCACTGGACCACAAATCCTGGTAGAATTTGTGGTATCCGTTCATAGGGGGCTTCTTGGGCTCTGCACAGAATGTCATCTGCATGGAGAAGTCATCCGTTTCCAGAGCAGACTTCCTTTCTTTCCTGTTTCCTTGAGCGGTTGTTTGAGGTCGAGTCTGTCGCCTCTTGGGGACATGATTTCTTTTGGAAGGCTGCTCCAGATGAGGTGGGTTGAGTTGAGACAGCTTGAACTGAGACAGCTTCTCTTTATATTGTTGTCTCTCCTCTTGGAAAGCTTGACTATATTTCTGTTTTACCTCCTCTGGAAGCTCTTTATACTTCTTCGCTACAAGTTTAGTCAGCTCCACGCTGCTTAGCTCAGGGTGTATTTGAGTATACTGGGAATGATTCTCCTTGTAAAAACGGAAATAAGCCGTCAAGGGCTGCTTGGGTAAGTCTGGATGCTTCTTGACCTTTTTCTTCCTCGAGGGGTTTTGAGCATGTTGCTGAGCTTCTAGGACTAATTCTGTCAAAGTCCGCGACTTCCTCAGGTTGTAAGAAATCTCCAACCATTTGTCTTCGCACATTTTCCCAGAAAAGTCTTTGAAAGCTACCCTCTCCCAGTTCATTTTCTTCAGGGTTGCATGGAAAGACTTGTTGTCATTTGGTGGGACATCCTTCTTTATGCGCTCCAACAGCGTCTGGATGTCTGCTTCAGACCAGTGGTCTTGGCCTGTCGGCATTGGCATGGTTAGGGCTTTGCGTCAGTTGTACTGGCAATCCCAGCTGGTGAGAATCCTTCTTTTTCTGACGATGCAGCCAGTGGGTTATTTCTTGAGATCCCGCTGGGAGTATGATGCCAAAATTCTGAAGAGAAAAAGAACAAAATCAACTCTCTTTCTGGAAAAATCTGAAAAACCAACTGCAGCTCGCTTGTGCCAGGTACCTAGGGTAGTAGAAATCAACCTCAGGGATATTGATTATAAGTTCCTCAGACTCTGTGTTCACCTTTAGGTTCAGTTTCCCTAGCTGCATCTGTATTGATTCCCTTTGCTGATTCTGACTTCTGAACCACACTAGCGCCGCCCCCCACCTTCACTACTTCCAAGTGAAGACTGGCCTTCAATCAAGATGAGTGAGTTATAGGAGAGTTGGGGGTGTAAATACGGTATGAGAAGATTACAACGAAAAGAGAACTGACTCTAAGGAACGTACTGGAAGGTCACAGCATCCTGACGGTGGGCACATTGCTCCTTGGGATTATGAAGTGTTAGGTAATCTTGGATAAGCCAGGATTCTTCCCAGAAAAAATCTAATTCAGACTTGCCAGCTCCAGGATGGGATCCTATGTGAAGCTGCCAAGCAGCAGAGGGAGAACAGATCTCCTTACTGTGGTCATAGATTGGTCTGACTCAGGGAGGTTTCATTAGGTTTGTATCAATTGACAGTTGTGGAAGCTAGCTCCCTTCAACTGCTGGATTTGGATGCAGTATATGGTTGCTAGCCTCCTGTTATATTTCCTCCTGAGAACAGCCTTTTATTTAATAGAAGCATTGGATCCAACAGCCTGTGAGCTTCCTGATATTCTTTTTTATAACCTCTCTAGCTACATCGGTCAGGAGAAGTCTCCAACTTACATGCACAGGCTTGACTTGGAGTGGACCAACCACTTCTACATTGTTGTGCGGTCTATCTGGATGAAAATATTTCTATATGCATACACATACAGAAGAATGAGGCTCTAGCAATACTTCTGGGGAAATCATGTTATAACAGTACTTTATTATTTTCTAGAACACCCAGAATTACAGCCTCTCCAGAGAACTCAGGGAATCAAAATTATATATAATTTGAAATTCTTACTATTTTGGAAATTTTTATTAGTTTCACCTCAAAACATGAAAATGAACTGATTTAGATTTCATTTTGGTCTTGGTCATGAATATAGAGGTTTTGTGATGAGCCATTTTGACTCTTATTCAAATTGAGAAAGATGAAAAAGATATTATATAACATTTACAAAAGTTATTTGCTAAATATTTCTCATCTTTAACTTTCAATGAAAGCTCTACCTGCTTTAGACAACCCTTTGAAAATATCGGACAGTTTAAAATACTAAAAAAAAAAAGTGCAATGTTTCTGTGTGATCCCATTTCATTGTGCTTTCTAGTGTAGAGGACATTTCAACTTGAAAAGTAAACAGTCACATGGGATTCTTTCTGCACTTCTATTTCTAATTTACATAATCAGTTACAAAAATGAATTATGAGCCTAGAATAAAAAAGGAGTAAAAATAGATTTTCACAGACCTGAATGTATCAGGATGGAATATCCAAGATCACCTTTCTGCATAATGTTGCTTCCATACATATACAATTAAAGCCACACAGGCAGTACTCACTAAATGGGTCAGCAGCAAAAGAAA